AATACATTTATTAAATCAAATAATACATTTATTAAATCAAACATTACATAATAATAAATAAAAACATGATTTAAATGAAGAGCATAGATATTTTTTCTTTATAAAATTTACATTTTTTAAATTAAAACATATAAAATATGAAATTAACTAAAAATAGAATCAATATAGGTATCTTTCTTAATGCTTCTTAGGCTTATGCGTTGGCGCAGTTGGAACGTATTGTGGTGGCCTTTTTGGTGACCCACTTTGAATTCCTTTATTAATTTCCGAAATGGCTGTTATTAATTCACCTTTTCTTTGAAAGAACACTCTTCTCTGATCTTTTGAAGCAACTTGCGTGACAATTTTATCTATTGAGTGGAGAGCCTTTTCAACATCAGATGCATTCTTAGCAGCAGCTTCAGATTGACCGCCCCAGTACCCACTTAAATAGCGAATACAGTTTGATCCAGAAAATCTCCGTGTTGCAGCAAGTGAATTTAGAATACCAAAAATTATTGCTAAGCCCATACCACGAGATGTATATTTTACGTAACCATTGACTATTTCAGATTCTTTTACAGACATTCCACAAACCTTTAAAGTTTCAACAGAAAAGTAACCAAAAGCATCAGGTAAAACTATAAAATCTGCAACACCTGGATAAAGTGCAACAATTTCAGGAACTTTGTCTTCAATATCACTTCCTGGATTGAATGAAAAGACACCAGTAATGATTTTACCTTCAAGTGGATCTTCAATCACGTGTCCATCAGGTGTAGTCAATGTTGAATGTGTTGGCATTAATGCTTTAACAGGACGTAATTGAGAAAGTGCTTTTTTAAGTTGATCACTAGTTAAAGATGTTTTTACTTCAATCACAGACAAAACGGTATCTGCCAGAATTGGCGCAATTATTGAATTAGTTGAGTCTATAGTTAATCGAGGACATGAATCATTTACTACAACAACATCAAGTTGTCCAGTGATATTTGATGCAGCATCAATGATTTCACCAGTTGTTACTCGAAAACCAGGTGGAATGTGACTACTTAAAAAGATTCGACAGAAAGCTTCGCGATTTTGTGAATCATTATTACTGACAAAAAGTTCACGATCGGATGCTTGTGCCATAGCCATGATGATATCAACTTGGGCAGCAAAGTGTTCTTGTAGAGGTGGCTTAACATTTAATGTATAAAATTTTGCAAGCCAATTATATAAAATTTGATTAGTATCAGAAATTTCAGGAGTCGTATAAATTACATGTTTTCCTGGTACAATTCCTTCTAAATCTCTTTGTAACGATAAAACAACAAAATCAGCATTCGATGTATTAATTGCTTGAGTCACTTTGGCCATTTCATAGTCGGTTTTTTCAACTAATTCTCGTGTTGGTGACATAGCCCTTTCAGTTTGAACAACAATAGCATTTCCAGAATTACTCAAACCTTCTGCTAATAAAGGTGAAACATTTACAACATCAGCAGCCATTGAATTAGCTATTGTCATAGCCATTCCTTGACTATCTGCATGTTCAATGACTAAAGTTGGTCGATTAAACAATTCAAATCCTGATGTTCCATCTAAAACAAATTGACTTTGCACATAAAACAATTCTCGATCACATGCAATTTTTTTGATATATTTAAGTTGATCTTCTGGGATCTTTCGTTCAGTGGTTGACACCAAAATGATATTTTTGGAAAGCATAAAATTAACAAGACCTGGCCAAAGGCTCATTTCTCGAACATTCATCACAGTTTTATTAGAAACTACGCAAAAACGATAATCAGTTTTGATAAATGAATTTTCACAATTTCGTGAATCAACAATAATAATGTCTGCGTGTTGTTCAGCACAAATTATTGCACGACGTATATCAGTAGTTGCAAAAACTCGAAACGCACCACATTTGATGTATTGTTGTATTTGCCATTTATCATCTTCAGAAAATAAATTCTGTGGAACAGAATCATTTTGTTTAAATTCATAGTGAAGACCATCATCAACTGAAAAAGCTTGTGAACGATCTTTTTGTGGAAGAATTTCAGAAATTGGAAATATGATTGCAACTCGACGTGATTTCTGACTGAGGACACTACAGAAATAACGACATACTTGAGTTTTCCCAACAGCTGGAGCAAGAGAAGAAACCAGAATGGTCGGTTTCGATGATCGCAATGCTATATCGGTGGGTGGCAGAAATTCCAAGGTGCAGTGGCCTGTTGCAATAATTCTGTTGATAATCGTTTGGGCAAACACCATGGGGATGTTTTGGGCTTGGAAAAGGCATTTTTGAATTCGTTTTTTGTAGATCGCTTTTTCGAGTTTGTCAAGCGGAAAAACTTTGATGGGAGTTTTTGTAAAGCCTTTGAAGTTCGAAATTGGCGGCTTTTCATTCGAGCAAAAAACAAATCCTTGAATATCTCGGTCGGGCGCTTGAACATTCAATCTCCAGTATGTGTGAAGTGTTGGAAAATCACACCCTAAAACTAATGTTCGATACCGAATCTGAAATGTCATGAGACAAAATGGCGAAATAACAAAATTTTTGTATTTATGTGAAAAAGTTTTAGGAAAAAAAAGGGTCTGGCGGGACTCGAACCCGCAATCTCATCCTCCGGAGGGACACACCCTATCCATTAGGCCACAAACCCACTATTTTGAATACCAAATGAACAAAATTCGATCCTTTTTTAACTTCCCAATTTTAGCTTTCAACAATCACCATAAATTCATCAAATTTTAGGCTACTCTAAAATGCTTTTAATTTATAATTTATAATTGAATAAAAGCTTTGGAGAGTAATTTAGGATAAGTTTTCATTCAGATGAATCTTTTAATAAAAATATTCGGAAAGGAGTATCCCAAAACATCTCTCTAAATGAAATATTCATGGAAAAATAAAAGTGAATTACAAACATTTAATCTAGTGAAATAGATAATATGGTTTTCTCTCGGTTCTCTTTTCTTCGGCCAATTCCGAAAGAAACTCATTGGATTTCTTTGTGTTCCGCGGACATCTTCTTATCGGCCTATTTTGTCTAGTTTCTTCTTCTTGTTTTCGTTTTCTTTCTTCTAGGATTTTTTCTTGTCTTATTTTCTTTTTGTTCATCACACTTTCATTCACTTCACTATAACTTGCTTTTTTTGCTGTTTTTGATGTTGATGACAAATCTGGTCTAAAAGTGCATTCACGATATTCTTCGATCTCTTTTTCAACTCGAATTCCTTGAAGCTTGATGTCTCTCAGAACAGTTCTTGCTTCACTGTATCTACATGAGAGTCCATAAGCTTTTGTATCTTTGGTTAATGATCGATCTGGCTTAAAGGAATACTTTTCTTCTTCGATTTTCTTTTTAGGTGTGGAATGCCTCGGAGAATTTGCTGGTGATGGATTTCGTGATGATGCTTGTGAACGAGCACGTTGGACAATTTGTCTACTTTCTTTAGAAATGAATGATTGTTCATGTTGTTTATCTTCTTTTCTCTTCCAATCAAAAGTCAATCTTTCACGATTGGCTAAACATTCATCTTGCCTCTTCAGAAACTCATTCCATCTCGATTTGTTCTTCCTCGGTGATGAAACAACAGACTGGGCTCGTGAAGGAGGTCTAACTCTATCAAATATAGATACTTGTACCGTTGCACTTGAATCTTGCTTTTTTTGATTTCCACGACTTCCATTGCTGATCATTGAATTACTTCGTTTAATAGGATTTGTTTTTCGGATTTCATATTGTAAGTCAACTTGACCTTTTTCATTTCGTTTTCTGGAATCCTGATCTAATATAAGGCATCCACTCGAATCCCAATATGAATCAACTTCAACAAGACTTGAACGATTAAAAATAACTGGCTTGACTGGAGTTAATGCTGGCTTTATATCCATTGTTTTTTCTTTCTCGAACTTTTTCTGTAGTACTCTTCTTTTATTTTCGCGAGTGATATCAGTATATAAATTTCTGACTGCAATACTTTGAGATCCTCTTCTTGGAACAGATTTGGATCTCTGGGTTGGCTTATTTTGCGGTCGTTTCTTGAGTGTGATGGGAGGGCGATTCTCATCCATGAAATTGCGGAAATAATTTAACGTCATATGGCATTGAAAAAGTTTAATGAAGTGAATAAGAATGAATATGATTTAAATTTGTGAGGAAAAAAGATCGATTCAGAAAAAAATCAACTTTGTAAGGTAAATTTACCAAAATTATACGAGATAGAACTGATAATCCGTCAAATTCTCTTCATTACATCACATAAGTGAAACAAAAACTAGAAACGAAATGTTTAATTTTTGATTCGAATTCCCAGTTAATGTGAAAGTTATAATCTAACAAATATTTGGTATTTAAAGTTATTAATATCTCGAAGAAATATTTGAAAAGTGGTTTTTAGAAGCTATTTTGAAGAATATGATTTTGGATTATGACTTTGAAGATAGAAACGAATATTCTTACGATATCAACATCTTTTCTTTCTGCTGATTATATTATGGATATTTTCTTTTTTCCTCTAATTTCATATCATGCTTTGGAAAGTTAGTTTTTTGTTGATCTATTGAAATTGAAATTGAATCTTTAATTGGTCATAATAATGAAATGACGAATGTTCATGAGATCGCCAATAATAATGGAAATCGTCGCAGCCAGCAGGCAATACTAATTTCCAATGAAATGAGTAACTCTAAATCAAATCAGGAAACTTCCAGTTTTGGCATTCACTTATCCGAAATTCACCAAGAAATCGAAATTTCCAATCAAAAAGAAAGAGAAATCCTTCAAAATATTTTGAATTTAGAAGTCCAACAGCAAAAATTCTTTGAAGAGAGACTTTCATATTTGATGAAATTAAGAAAAACACAAAATCCTTCAGGAACAAACAAAAAGATTCTCCAACTTCAGGAGGAAGTTGAACAGCTTTCAAAAACTTATACTCAATCTTTTAATAAGAATCAAAAATTATTTGAAAAATTTGATCAAACAACTTTTTCGATAAAAGATACAATTGAAAATGCAAATAATGGCGTTAAAAATGCAGAAAATAGATTAAATGAAGAAATAAAAAATCAAAATATTCGTGAGAAAGATATTTTGAGACTTTCACAGCAAATTTTGCAAATGGAAAATCAAATTGAGCTGCTCGAAGCAGAAAAAATTAATTGCAATGAAAAGAAAGAAGAAGCAGAAATTGAATCCGTTAAAATTAATAATGAAATTTCTTCACAAAGGAAAAAAATGAATGACCTTCACTCAATTTTGGAAGAAGCCAAACAAAATTACGAGATTTTGCTTGAGGAAAAAGAAAATCGAAGGAAAAGTCAAAAAAGAAAAGCTCAGTACGATGAGTCCCAATTGTCAGAGCTGACGGAAAATATTAATCAGATTAAAGTCGAACAGAAGCAATATGAAAAGAAAATAAATCACTTGAAAAATGAAGAAATTCCGGAATTGATGAGAAAAATTGAAAAAGCAACGAAAGAACTCAATCATCTATTAGAAGCCCATGATGTAAGAAGAAAACAGCGAAATTTAGTTTCTCGAAAAGTCCCAAAAATTTAATTTTCGAAAATGTTCATCAAAATAATTAAGATTTAACTCAAAAATCTTTTTTATTCAAAAAACTCATGAAAAGTGGATTTTCTCGGTGTTTCCATCATAATGACACAATTGTATTTCATAATTTTTTTTATGAATGAATTCATTTCTGCTGAAATCAATTATACCACAAGAGCAGCTAGTTTTAGAGCCATTTTGGATAAATGCAATCAGAATTTACAAGATGATTCTGATTGATTGATTGACAATATCCAATGGTCAAAATTTTCATGAATTATTTCAAAAAGAAAGCGGTTAGACAATCTCTGTCACAAATTTTTTATTTTGAATAAAAATAGAAGTGACATTTTTTTATCCCCTGACATTATTTTTTTCTATAGTTTTTATAACGTCTAAAATTTTCCTTCTGAAAATGTCGGAGTGAATCACATCACTTCTGTTTTGGCATCATGCACAATCGAAGACAAATCACACAAATACGGAATATTTTGCTATGTTTGTACAAGAGTTCCGATAATCGCAATCAATCGGCCATTAAACAACAATTACTTAATCTGTATAATGAATTACTACAAAGAAATAATAATAATAATCCAAGAATAAGAGCATATTTAAATGAAATGACAAATGGTAAAGATCTAAGAAAGAATCAATTAATTGATCTATATAACTATTGCAGAAAACAAGTCGATGGTGAACTGAAACCTTTAACCAGAAATGAGAAAAGATCAAAAGACCTAATTTATCAACGTATGGATGAAAACTATGATATAATATTACTTTGTTTAGATCAACTTGAGTTCGTTCCTGAGTAATTTTTTGCTAAAAAGAAATATTTTTTTTCTTTCTTTTTTTCCTTTCCATTTTTTTGCTATTTTGATGCCTCTTCAATAAGTACATTGCATTTTAATTTTTCCATACACAATTTTATGAAATAAATAGACAAAGAATTTTATCGTGATATATTATTTTTCAACGAAAGAACAATAAATTTATTGCACTTGTAGTATAATCCCAATTAATCGAGAAAAACAATCAATAACTTCTCAATCGTTGCATCACTTTTTATTTTGTTTTATTTTTTATCATCGTAGAATTGAGAGGGTCTGTCTCATAAAATCAAATTTGCACAAGATTAAATGAGTGATTCTGTCACTTCAGAAGATGCCCAATCAGTCGGCTCTTCTGTCATTATTCCGATTTCTATGGACGCGGATATAAATACACAAGTTGCAGAAATTATCGAACGAGTTGAAAAACAACAGGGATCAATTAATCACCTTCGAAAAACAGTCAGACTGATTCGCGATCGAGTAACCATGCCAGATGGTCTTCCACAGGGAGCCTCTAATCCTTTGTCATCGAGAGAGCAAAATGATGCATTGGCGAGATATGTCGATCGAACTACATTCAAAAACCAGATGAAACAAATCGCTCGAAAAATCGATGAAATCGCCCAACAAAAAGGAAGAACGCAACAGGCCCTCGAAGTAAAAGTAGATGAGGCTCTAAAAATTATCAGCGAGCAGAACGAAAAAATCGATCAATCGCAAAATGGAAGCGCTTCAAAAATCGAAATTATTGCACAGAAAATGGAAAACAATGCAACAGACACAACAAAAGCGATAACGCAATTAAAGAATGGCATCGAAGATCTCAAAAATAAACTGAAAAAAGCTATCAAATCAACAGTTGATTTAAACAGAAGTGAAACCAATAATGTCAAGCATAATTTAGAAGATTATAAAAAAGCTAATAATTCTCAAGTCTCTTCATTAAAGTCTGAAATTGAAGGTCTTAAAGCTGAACTCGCTGTAATCAAATCAAGTGGAATAAGCCCATCTCAAGGAGAGGCAACTACAACATCTGCTTCAGACGTAATTGAAATCAAAACAGCTCAAGCTAAACAAAACCAAGCAATTCAAGAGATCAAAACAAAATTAGAAGAAATAGAGCAAAATTCAAATACTAAAAACGATGAAATTACCCAGAAAATTGAGGATCTTTTACAAGACGTGAAAAATTGCGAAAGAACTTCTGAAGACATTTCTAATAAATTAAATGATCTTGAAACTCAATACAATTTGGATTGTGAGCAG